AGACTGATTGGATATAAGCTGAGAAGACCTTTTGAGTGATACCAGGCCCATGAGAGAAACTCTAATTGGAGGTGGTTTGTCCATCCGCATGCGACATTAAGGAAGTCATTTGAAGAAGAAGTGAACGATTTTGGGCAGTGGTGGAGTCCGCTGAAATTTGTGGGAGAGAACCAAGTGGAGTGCAGATATATTGCTGTAAGACTGGAGTACAAATAGTCAATATTAATCATAAAGGCTCTGAGGAATGTTAAGCTGACTTGCTGATAAAGAATACCTACACAGCTGTAGAAGTGTACCATGCTAGGAGTATTGACTGCGCTGTGCAGATAACCTATTCTTCACTGTCGAATAGTGAACTTCAGAGAAACTTCTTTACTTTATTCCTCTACATTAATTGGTTGCCGTAACACAAAAGAGGTAGGGAGAGAAATTAAAATGAATTTCAAGAATTAATGTGCTGTCGCATGTTACTTCATCAACTATGCCTTACCTATTTAACAGTAGACTGGTTTAATATTTTTGTACTGCACTTAATAGAAGCATGCAGAAATAGACTGAGCTTAAGTGCTCTGAACTCATAATCCAGAGGGAACTGTATCCGATATCAATTTCTCAATCAAATCTATCCTACATAAAATCTCACCAATATGGAAATGTTTGAATTTTCTTGGCAGTGAGCATCCACTTGTGCATTTAAATGGCTTTATTAAGCGAAACTTAATGATCTAAACTCCTGTGAATCGTTCATATTCAAGGTCATTGGCTTCACATACTACTAATTCAGCTTCCTGTGTTGAAGATGACTCTTCATATTACTATTAGACATATATCAGTATGATTAGATCAGGTTCTGACTACTTCAGTGTATACACGTATACATAAATTTAAAGTGGGTTTTGCTTACCTGCCCAGCATTTTACATGTACGTTTGGTACTCTTTGTCGTTAACATACACACACAATTAATGCCTCAGTCACAAGGGTTAGTGATAATTTGCAACCTCCCTGTGTTTATGAAAGCAACTTTTGCGAATATTCACTCGAAAATGTCGAATAAATATATTACTTGATCGTCTTATTAGCACTATATTTCATGTGAGAAATTCTTGCAAGAGAATAGGATATACTGAATACTTTTTTAAAACTGTTTCATTCTAACACTAATGTTGACTTGAATAGAGGTGAATGCATTGTCCTTCAGTTTCAATGAGTTAGTGATTAGGAGCTCATATTTCATAACGTTTACCAATTCATGATGTAGCATGTACACTAAGTGTTATTAATAGGCACTTGTCAGTCTACTCGACTTGATTGACTTTACTGATCACAGTCATGATTACAATCCCGAGAAATTTACGAAAAAGCGTATCAGTAATACGCTGCTGCTCTAGGAACTTAACGGTCCATCTTCGGGAATACCTACCAGCGTGGTTAAATAAAGGTGTGGTTAAGACCATCAACAGTTCTGTGTTGGACCACCTCCTCCAAACACGCCACAAAGCTATCATTGAAGAGTCTTCCTCTATCATCTGTCAAACATCAAATCAATTGCAAGAGACCACTTGATACCGAACACCCCAAACAGCAGAGGCCACTGAAATCCGCCTAAAATATCCGGAGCTCTGTGTGCAAAGGAAAAGGAACCAGCCACTACTGATATTCTGGCGTGTTTTCGAACCTATAAATTCATAAATTCAGTATTACTTCCCTTAATTTATATGATATTAAGTCAGTTGAGTGTTGTATTAATGTACATTATCTCTCTCTCTTACTGATGCTTTTGAACTGTAATCACCTACCGATACTATCGATTGGATGTAATTTAAAACAGCATTACTATTGTGAGTAAGAATATTACTTCACTTATTACTGTTATGTCTCAACTACAGGAGGAACGGACGAAGATGTCAAATCGAGAATAGGGAAGGCGAGAAACACATTCATCAACCCGAAACCAATCTGGAAATCTTCGTCACTCAGCATCAACAACAAAATTCGGATTTTCAGTACAAACGTCAAGTCAGTTCTTCTATACGGATCAGAAACTTGGCGGGTCACAAAGAATATCTCCAACAGCCTGTTGCAGACCTTTATCAACAATAGTCTTTGTTCTATACTGAAGATCAGATGGCCGGAAAGAATCACCAACAAGAAACTATGGGAACAAACAAAGCAAGAACCAATCGCTCAACAAATATGCAGGAGAAAGTGGAGATGGATTGGACACTAGCTGAGGAGGCCGTTGGGTGACATCGCGCGTCAGGCCATCACTCGAGTGGAAACCGAAAGGGAAGTGGCGAGTGGGACGTCCAAGGGTGACGTGGATGAGATTGTGTGAAGAGGAGTTGAAACAGTATGGGCTAATATGGATGCAGGTGAAAAGTACAGCAGAAGACAGAAGCAAGTGGAGACGTGTAGTTGAAGCCCTATGTTCCTCTAGGAACCCAAGGGAACAATAATAATAATATTAATATCACGTAAATGTAGAACCTGATGACGAATTTATCGAGAAGTATATTCATTGTTCATCAATCAGTCTTTTAAATTTTGAATACATTAAATTACTCACTAACAATTGTATTTTTCTGTATGATATGTCTGAAGCAATCTTGAAAAACAAATTGTATACCTAATTGTTCCAGAAGTGTTTACAGAATACAGGGCTATTTCATTTGAAGTGTACTTCATCACTGCAACAATTCAACTGCCTTATCTATCGTGAAAAGTAGGCCTTATTCAGGATCATAACTGTTTAGGTTAAATCACTTGAGAGAAAGCCAACTTCACAAGAGTTAACGTTAGTTATTCGTGAGTCACTACAGCTAGCTGATGAAAAGTAATTTAGTTATCGAAACATAACAACTGCAAAATAATGAAACTAAATTATTTCTAAGTAGTCATTTAGTCTAAACGTGAATTTAACTTCCTTCACTCATCTAGGGAGCACCGTTTCAACTTCAGGAACGCCGCACAGATGAGGATGTCAAGGACAGACTGGATCGAAAAAGCATGAGAGACCTTCATCACTCTGAAATCAATTTGGAAATCTTCTGCACTGCCATTCCGCGTAAACAACGAAAGCCGGATTCTCATAACCAATATTAAGTCATTTTTTCTATATGGGTCAAAATCTCGGCGGTTCACGAAAATCATTTTCAGTAGGTGGTAGACTTTTATCATCAGCTGCTTTCACCAACTCCATATTGAAAATCAGATTGCCAGTCAGAAATGAATACCATCAAGGAACTCTGAGAATACACCAATCAAAAACCCATTTTTTTCAAGAGATATGATGAAGAAAATGGAGATGAACAAGACATATGCTGAGGATACTTTAAGGTGAAATCGCTCGCCTTGCCATCTCTTGATTGGGAGGTGAATGGGAAACGACAAGCTCCTTGGGTGACATGGAGGCGATTGTGTGAGGAGGAGATGAGAGACTATGGGCAATCCCGGGTCAATCTAAAGAGAAGTACGGAGCACAGAGTGGAACGGAAATGTGCTGCTTTAGCCCTGTATTCCACTCGGAACCGAAGGAAATAACAGTAATTATTATCCGAAATCCAAACGGGTGATATTAAGCCATACCTGGAGATTTTAAAATAGTACTATCGTAACTTTAAAATTTAGAAAATAGAGACGACCAGAGTGGATTAGCCTTTCATTAATTATTTATGTCATTATTTATGTAACGAATGATCAGTGAAGTAAAAAGGAAATTCATATTTCAGCAATCTCCAAATCACAAGCCTAGTGTTTTACCAGCTAAACTAACGCACCCGTTGTAATCCAAAGATTTATTCCACCGTCATTTATCATCTGTTATGCCAGTAGACCATTCCGGATAGTCTGGTAATTAATATATGGTATGTGCTGGTGGTGACGAAAAAACTGAGGCCCTGAATCAAAAGATGAAGAGATAACTCTTTTGAGGAAGACACCATTTGAGAATTGCTACCTCCACGCTTTAGAGATAAACACATAAAGCTCAAAACCAGCAGGGAACACCTCAGCTCTGTTCTGAAGAGGATGCTGTACACGAAAGGTGACCTTCTGGCCGACATTATAAACAGCAGAATATCCAACGCTCTGCTGCTACATTGCAACTGGTATTCTCATGCAACCCATTGTTCTTCAACAACTTTAAAGATAAACTAGCACATCTGACCACTTCTGTGTGTATCTACTAATTTACTTGCTCATGTAGAGTGAGATGTATAGGTCGTTCAATCAGTGTTTTATCTAAAAGAGTCAAAAAATGTTATCCTGTTCGGCTACGAAAAGGTAACGGTTGATCAATGAGGAGTGCAAAGCACTTAATAAGCAAGGAGAATTCTTTCAAAGCTGTCTGCAAAGTCAAAAGAAGCCCCCCAAAGACTGTAAGCTTTCGTTTATTTTGCATCTCCGAGGCCTTGACGATACGGATGGGAAAACTCTGATCTAAGTACACAGGAAAAACTTCCCCATCCCCTCCTTCTACTTGGGTTATAATTCCAAGTTCAACTGTTATTACTATTCTGTTATTAAAACTATTTTGTACATCTCTCATATGACATCACGATCACCAGTTTCTTAGCTAACCTTCTATATAAATTATTCTGATACTAATCTCCATGCTCTTTTACTAACATGCAATATTTTTTGAACGTTATTCATATTACGTAAACCTAGTCTAAACTTCCTAGTCTTCACCATTCCTAGTTGTAATTTTGATAATTTATTACATTTTCGAAATATCTTGATGACGTGAACAATAACCCAAGCTAACCATCTATTCTTGACAAATCTAATATACACACATACAAAAAGAATTATATATATATATAATTGCTCTTGTACAGTTAAGTGAATGACTTTTCCGTGAAGAGACTCTTCGCTGAACTCTTTGTTCTTGTTTCCATGTTTGGATGGGTATTTTGAGGGTATTGTTTTTTGAGTCAACAAAAAACAATGTCTAATTTGTAAAACAAAAAAGAAAGTGGTAGCAAAATTAAAACTTACGACAATAACCTTCTTGTGCTACATGAACTTCAACTTGATCAGCGCAAGATTTAACTTTTAGGAAACATTCATTCTCGTAAGTTTTACCATCAGTTCCACAGACAGGTTTCCTAATCTAAAGAGATGAGCGAAAATTCAAAATTACCATTTTGATTATCAAGTTAATCAATAAAATAGTATGAAAATTGAAACAGTAGAACAAAAAGTTTATCTCTATCTATGAGGATGAAAGTATGATTATGTTTCATTGTTGTTACCATACCCACTTTGAAGTCAGATTAGTTTCATTCCTTTTTCATTCTGAGAAGAGTGTAAGGCTTGATGCTTTTCAAACTTTTAAGTTTCAGTAGCAGTTGAGCTGTGTTTACAAAACGAGGTTACCAGGCTGATGACCAACCTACCTGCTTATCTGGACTTACTACAGGCTGGGAGAGGTTTAGGAATTCATCAGCCAGCAGCTGAATGTCGGATTACGTGCGTGGCTAGCCGCATTCTTTCCCATAGGTGTTTTAAAAAGAACAGAAAAAACTTTACCTTTCGTGAATGTGAGGTGGTTTTCAATCTTTTATTTGATGTTTCCGTTTTATATCTAAGGAAGTAAAATTAGGTATTAACTATCCAAATATATCAGTGACACTTGCAGAGAGATATTTGTAGTCTCTGACAGTGAAAAAAAAGGTACTGACTGAGTCATTAAAGAAACTAAGCATCTTAAATACATGTGCAATAAATATCGTGTTGGGCGGTTGAAGACTATTAGCAGAAAGCTTGGACCCGGGTCTCATGCTTATTGGCGTCTTTCGGAAAGCTGTGCATGCAACCTTGAAAGAAGTAATGTCACTTCTAATATTCGAACCTGCCTCACCCAGAGTTGCCATTAGAGACGTTACCACTGAGTTACTTGCACCTACGAATAATCTCCTGTTGGACTATAATGGCCTCTTGAGAGTAACTAGTGTCTTGTGTCCAGTCTTTAGTGTTCTATCAATCAATCCCGCAATATGGTAACCAAACTACACTAAGAAAGTATTGAAAATAGGTATAGTAATCACTGTACAATCCGGTCAATTCGGCCCTCTACATGAGTAAACTTTTGATTTGAATGTACTTGTAAGGTAGCGTATTAGCTTAAATGGTTGACTTTTTGCAAGCTTATCTCGGATTTGACGTTGCCTTATTTACTCAAGCCTGGTCTACGCCTGCAGAATAAATGGTAATCACATTTTCACAACTGAGTTCACGGAAAATTATTCCATCCAGTGGAATCAAATTCAGTGAAGGATATCAAAGCCAAAGAGGATGGGAAAACAAGACAGGAGTTGATTACTCTGATATCATTTTGGAGATCTACACCACTCAGCATACTGAATAAGATCTGAATTCTCAACACTAATGAACCTATATGGTTCACAGACTTACTGTCTTATTCAAAGCATTTCCAACAGATTAGAGATTTTTATGAAGAGCTGCCTTTGCTGGATACAGAGAATCAGATGGTCAGAAAGGATATGCGACAAAGAACTCTCGTAACAAATTAGACAGGAGCTTACTGTAATATATTAACCAATAAATATGCATAAGGAAGTGGCGATGGACTGGACATACACTGAGTAATTAAGCTAGGTCCCTAAATGGAACCCAGATGAGAAGAAAAGAGTCGAGTGTATCCCTGGGGTTGGCAAGGTGACATCACTTGGGATTCAAGGAAGGTTTCAAACTTAAGTAGAGGACCTTTTTGACTCATCATCAATACCTGTTCTATTTGTGACAAAATCCGACCATGGCACATAGACAGGCATACACTAAATGCAGTATGTTTTCACTGGTCTGAGAGTATTATGGGGTGTATGGGGGTTTTGAGGTGGTTCATTTGGGGCAGTTAGTAAATATAGAACGCCAGAGATATCGGTTCAATATTCCGAACTTTCGAGCATATCCTTGGCTGTTTCGTGATCCGTTTTCAGTACTTCATGAGGGATCCCATCTGAACCTACTGCTTTTCTGGCTGGCTTTTATTACGTTAACTGCGTTGAAGACTGCTGCCTTTGTTGGAGGAAATGGTGTCCACTGTCATTTCTATAGTTGTTGGTCGACTTGCAGGTGACGATCGGTTCATAATTAGTTAAACTTAAATGGAAAAGCGTACTACACTACACAAACGTCATGTTTTACAAAAAATTCATTAATATATACAATATATATACATATATATGTATAACGAACTTACATAGAGACAGTCTGTTGGACAGACACACTGTGGCTCGCCGAATACACTTAACTGACATATAGCATAATATTTGCATTCTTTCGATTGACATGCGTCTGTATGTAGTTTTCCAAAAAAAGTAGAGATAAAAGTGCAGTGATAACAATTAAAAGTCTTTCAGAGTAGAAACGGATAGTTTAAAAACAAACAATGGAAACTAAATACATCAAATATGAAGATAATTAGCCTACATACATACTGGAGTAGATGATACTAGTGGGTTATATCATCGCAGATTTAGATTTCGTACCGCTATACAAATTTCACCTCTTAATGAAATAAAATTTATCATCCCTGGCATAATCTTTGCAGCCCTTTGGATAAATTCTATCTCAGATACTTGAGTGACAAAATGTCTCCTTGAAATCTCTATGAAATCCATAAATTTCTTACCAGGGGTTACAAGTGAACAACCAACCACTACTTTTCGGTTACTAGTAGTAGTTCCAGTTGGGAAAGTGGCACCCTTGGAATTCAGCATATCAGTTATTTGGCGATGATAATCTTAACCGACTAAATTTCAGTATCTATTATTATCGAATTTTAAGATTAGCGGTAAGCACCTCTTGAATTACTCTTCACAAATGATGTATTTATCAACAACTGTCTTCGTTCTATACTGAAGATCAGATGGCCGGAAAGAATCACCAACAAAATACTATGGGAACAAACAAAACAGGAACCAATCGTCCAACAAATATGCAGGAGAAAGTGGAGATGGATTGGACACTCACTGAGGAGGCCGCTGGGTGACATCACGCGTCAGGCCCTCAAATGGAACCCGAAAGGGAAACGGCGAGTGGGACGTCCAAGGGTGACATGGAGGAGATCGTGTGAAGAAGAGTTGAAACAGTATGGGCTAACATGGATGCAAGTGAAAAGTACAGCAGTAGACAGAAGCAAGTGGAGACGTGCATTTGAAGCCCTATGTTCCACTAGGAACCCAAGGGAACAACAACAATGATGTATTTACACTATCTCGGTCATATTTTGCAAATAAATGACAATTTAATAATTACAGTGTCCTAAAGCTCTACCGAGAAGTCGTGGTTGGGGAGGTCCATCATGTTAGAAGTGAACCGGATGCTCAAAGAGGGCAGTGATTGGAGTTGGAGGTACACTGGTAATTGACAGAACTTGAAATTCACGAGTCATTGGATTCCACCCCAGTGACTTAATGGTAAATTCGCTTGCCTAGTAACCACAGGGTACTCAATTTAATTATTTGTGGGGTTGTATGCATGTACTGTTTATTTGTCCCAAACTAGGATGAAACAGATGACTATCGCATCAATGACTCCTTAACTGACATTGATTAATGACGAAACTTACGCTAAGATTTATCAATGGTAAAATAGAGTCATAATGTAGGTATTCATAAATAGTTGTTCTGTGTCCTGAAAACAATTCATTTGGGGCTTGTCTAATTGACAGACTGTTATAGGTTAACTAGCACTAGACCAGTTTATGTTAGTTTTTTGAATACGCATTCAGAGTACAATAATTAACAACCAATCAAACAGCCAGAATACGTTTCTCCATAACAGCTAGTGATGATGGTTGTTAGTCAGCGAAATTCCCATCAGCTGATATTTCTTGCCTTATTCGGAAGCCATAGATCTGTCATAAGCCCTCTTACATATCTTATTACTTCATTAAAGCATATTACAGATACAGGACAGCTGAAAATATTGGATTGATGAAACTATTGCATTTGAATTTCTCAATGACTGATTTTGTTAAACTTAAATGCTTGATCTCTGTTGATATATCGACTATAAGAATGGACGTTTCGGTGATTCCTTAGCATCAGTTGTTTGTACATTGGTGGCTAAGTGGTAGGATTCCAGTCGGAAGGAAGGTTTTGCATGAGGCTAGCGACTGCCCCCTGTAAAAGAAATACCAGCGCCACTGGAGCCACAGAGCTTGAGGCTCTACATTACACTCAGAATGCAAAGAATTCCTTAAGCATCTGCTCTACGTGTCAGCAGAAACTGAGCATTCCGACTCAACAAAATCAGTTAAGAAAAAAATAAAAAGACAATAATTTCAACAACTGACAGCGGAATTCTGTTGCGCAAGAAGAGGATTTCAGGGCCCACTGGCCTAGTGCATAACGATCTAACTTTCAAAACGATGCGAAACTGGTCGGCATAAATACGTACACTTAATATGTAGTCTGATACACACAGCCAGGTACATTATAAGTAGTAGTTATTATGGTATTATTATCACCAGGCAGTATGCAGTGAAACATTGTTCGTTCATGATAATAAGAGTCAGCGATATAATGTTGCATTATGATGTAATTTGTGCATAACACTTACTGTGACACGATTTACGACAACAGTGTGATATATATCACACTTTGTGCTAAATATGGCGCTGAAGATTTTGTCCAGGAGGACGACGAAAGCTTCGCAACTAAACTAACCAGCTCAGAGAAGACTATTAATTGCAAATCATCCACCTGAGCTACAAATCTTCTCTATTATATCAAAAAACTAGATTATTATTATTTCCTTTTCCATCGTTATTGGATAATTTGGTAGATGGCAATTACCAGTGGAATCTAGAATGCACATTTCGTCTTTCTTGGGATTCGTAACCCGGATAATGCCTTGGCAATTGAAACAATGGGTACTGGATTTGAGCCTAACTGGGGACACCACCACTTGCCCATTGGCGGGGGGGGGGGAATGCAAGTGCGTTCAGATGACCAGTCCCAAGTAGGACGAAACGCGCATCCTAGAATCCACTGCTAATCTCCATCCACAAATTACTTCAAGTTAATGCACAGGCACAAGGAGCCAACATGTCAACATAAGTGGAACATCTCAGTACAATCGGTCGGCACGAAAATCGACACTCATTTGAAAATAAATAGTCATAGGAAATTTGTTTATATTAGATGGAAATGAGTAGTATTGTAGGTGCATAATGTTGGCTTCACTCACAGATTCAGATGACTAATCAGTAAAAAGGTGTAATTTCGTTTCTTTGTTTGGTTACTTTTTAGAACAAAACATTTAAGCGAACAATATTGCTTTCAATTAGATCTCATCAGGCTTAACTCTAATATATATTAGTTTACAAATAAAAATTCAAATATAAACCAATCATGGTATTTTGTCTATAGGATAATACGATAGTGAATATAAATTGTGCAATTAGTCATAATAGTAGTAATGATAATAATAATAATGGCTTTGTCAATAATAAGGATGAAGAAGTGAGGCAATCTGTGATAACACGAATAATGAAAATCAACATGATTAAACAAACAACTGTTCAGGTGGAAGTAGTCGATAAAGGCTAGTAAAAACAAATGAACCGATTAAGTAATGTTAGATTGTAAGGGAAGGAAATGAAACACGTTTATAATGAAGATAAGATTAAGGGATGACAAGAAAGGGGATGAAAATACAAACAAAGGGTGGTGTAGAAGTTATTAGTTGGTTACGTCTTAATAGGCCAAGGGAGGGATAATGGCTGTACGAACTTTTTTTGAATACATAATTTAGGTTTAATAGTTTGAATGCCTATTGCCTCAGCTGTGAGCAATAAACGAATACGAAGTCTATTGGAAAGATTCGGTGGGATACGATGAATTACTTTGAAAGCTGTCGTTTTCTCGATTACATGACCACTATCAATTACGTGTTGCAAAATTGAGCTACGAATTGTTTTTGTCTGTCCTTTACCAAACCACGATGGGAGATGTTCACTTACACGTTGGCTAAGCTGTCTAGTAGTACGCCCAATATAACTGTCACCGCAGGTGCAGTTGAATTGATAAATGCACATAGATGTGGCAAAACTATCAAGCTTATCCTTCGTTTGCATCCCAATCATTCGTCGGCTAGAGAATGACAAACATAGGTGTGCTGCATAAAAAGTTCTTCGCATACTCCTTGAAAGTGTTTTGAGATCTAACACATTACAGAGGTGAAGAAATTGCAGCTATCTAGAAGTATTTACACTTTTGACACTTTTTGACATTGATTAGTGCTGTGTCACTTGAATATTCAAACCTGCCTTATGCAAAGCCTTAATGAGAAATTTAAGGAAAGCGAAATGCTAAGTGAATAGTATTTTATCGAAGTCTAACGTTTTACATGGCAAGATCACTGTTGCACAGCTCAATCTGGTGATAATACGTCGGTTGCCGGTGGCCTCTCGTTTGCTTATGTGCTGATAGTTTCGGCAGTAACCGTTTGGTTATTTATATGAAATTATCTTCGTTATTGTGACGATATTTTTATGAGGCAAAGAGGAGAGAACATCAAAATAGGGTTCAAGTTTACAGTAGTCCACGTATATTTTACAGATGATCATTCTGTTGTTATTAGATAGGCGTTTGACAATTGGCACGTAGCTTTGGACTTAGGTTTCATACTAGTCAGCAAGGCATATCTGTAATATTGAAGGAACTCATGTTTTTCATGAGATTTAAACCTGTGTCACCAACTACTGAAACAAGGGCCGTTACAGTCGAGCTATTTGGGCTCGTGACTAACCTCTTGTAGGGATATTTTGACTGGACACTAGCTGGTAACTAGTTTTTAATCACAGATGAATACTAGAGAAGATTTGTAGCTCAGGTGGATGATTTGCAATTAATAGTGTTCTCTGAGCTGGTGGGTTTAGTTGCGAAGCTTTCGTCTTCCTTCTGGACAACATCTTCAGTGCAATATTTAGCACAAAGTGAAGTGATTTAAATTTCTTCATGAGTGATATAATTGCGTTTCCTGGTAACTATCTTTAGATATGTATTGACCATTTTGTATTGACTTGGATTTAAAACTTTCCGGTTACCTGATTTACTTTTTTTTTAGTTGGTATATTTCGTCTATATTAACGTGCTTGTTAATTGCATTTTCGTTTGAGTACCAGGTTTCTAGGAATTCCCTGGCACTTTTGGTGTTTCCTCTGTCTAAGATTTTGACATTATCCCAATCAAATTGATGACCTTAATTGTCTATATGCATTGATGCTAAAGAATACATATCGTGTCTTTTCACAGCTGATTTTTGTTCTTGAATTCTGATTCGAAGGGGACGCCCACTTTGGCCGATGTAATGCTTGTTACAGTTCATACAATTTATTTTGTAAGTGGTATTAATTTTATTTTCTATTTCTGTTGGATGAGTCCTTCGATTTGCACAATATCGAATGAAGTGATCGTGCTGGCTGGCTTGTGTGCTATATCTATATCAAACGGTTTCAATATTCTTGCTGTTATTTCAGAGATATTTCTCATGTATGGTAGAATGAATTTTCTTGTGGTCTTTGATGATGGTTTCTTGTTGGTGTTTTGATTCGACTTTAAACACTTTTTGATGAAATTTTGTGGATAACCATTCTTTTTGAGGACCGTTTGTAGGTATTTTTCTTCCATTCTTTTCAACTCTGGAGTGCTACAATGTGTTTGAACTCTTTTAAACAATGTCTGCACATAGTTTTGTTTGTGAGTAACTGGATTATTGCTACTATAGTTGAGTATTTGACTTGTGTGCGTTTATTTTCTATATACTTGTGTTTCTAAATCTCCTGTGTTGGTTCTCCTGATTAAGACATCTAAAAATGGGATTTTGTTATCTAATTCTTCTTCTCTTGTGAATCTGGTGTCTTCAAATATGTTGTTTATTAATTTATGAGTATATTCTAAATCACTTCTCTTAATTATTACAACTGTATCATCAACGTAACGTATCCAGATTTTTGGTTTAATTATAGGTAGAGCTATTAATTCTAATCTTTGCATGATGGATTCAGCTCAGAGAACACTATTAATTACAGATGAATACTTTTTTTTATTTCGTGGTTTTCAATAATTATTGTTTGCAAACAAAATTCGAAGCCTAGTTGTACATCAATCAGACATTGTCGTGAAGATTATGTTACTGAACATCATTAACCTGTTCAATAAGAACCATTAGGTAACCTTTATTCTCTCACAGAAGGCTTGTGTATTTATCCTATAAAGAGGGAGGGTCTGGTGTGAGGCTAACAACCTCATCCCGTAAAAATAAACTCACTGCTACCGAGACTTGAAAGCTCTAGCTTGAAGCCCTATGTTCCACTCGGAACGTAAAAGGATAAAATAAGTGTCTCCTGAGTAGTTTTGAGAATATTTAAATCAGTGGCTTGAGATCTAACACATTACAGAGGTGAAGAAATTGCAGCTATCTAGAAGTATTTACACTTTAATTTTATGTATCATATATGTATATATCAAACCTCGCCTAGATTAATAGCTCACTAGTTTTCTAGCCGGTCCCAAGCCCGGATAAAGAGGGAGGGTTGGGGCGTGATGCTAGCAACTCCACCCCCAAAACTTAACCAACTTGCTACAGAAGCTTCAAAGCACAAATATATTAAAAATTCTAAAAGTATAAAAAATAACCTCATTTTTCGCTGGAATCGGGGAAGTGAAATGACGCAGACTGGTAAAAGCCAGTCAGCCGATGTGCCTTCTTTCGATGAAAGCAAAAATAAGGATGGGGACGTGGAATATTCGTACAATGTACGAAACTGGAAAGGCTGCCCAGGTAGCCGCAAAAATGAGAAGATATAAAATAGAAGTGTTGGGAAAAGTACAGCAGAAGACAGAAACAAGTGGAGACGTGCAGTTGAAGCCCTATGTTCCACTAGGAACCCAAGGGAACAATAATAATAATAATATGAATGTATCATATATTATCCAAATTTTGCACTTCACTGTATCTATCGACTATCAAGTCTTCTGATATTTGCCCTTTCACTTTTCTTTTGCTATGTGAAACCGACATTATGTAATGCAACCTTTTTGTCATGAGCGTTAGTAGACATTCATTTAAGACTGTATACTGTTCATGTGTGCGTATATAATGCCTGAATTTTAAACACAAGGAATCAATAAAATGAATAATTGATGGAAATAATTTTTTTAACCGAAATTTTACTCATAAACAACATACTTTTAAACCATGAAAACATGTTCATTTGATTTATTACACTTTACTTTTTATGAAAAGTATACAACCCTTAAGTTATAGGAAATACATGATATTACAAAACTTTCCTGGGAGTGAAACTAAGAAATATGATGTTTCATAAATTCTAACTTCTACTAATTCACAATATAATGCCAGCATTAGCGCGTACATGTCCTCACAATCCATTTTGTCGACTCTATCGTCATGACTTTACATTGGAAGTGTGTTACTTCCATATAGTAGTCAGTCACTAACAAGTGCACCATTAATTTTTAGTTGTTCATGACACTCTAGTATTCATTGTTTCTCGAACAAATATCGGTTCTTGTCATAAAACACCTTGAAATTAAACAGATCCAGACAAATTCAGCCTGTCTGTCTGTTTTCAACATAGAACTTTGCACATATGTGCGGCAGTTCAAGTCGCCACACTCCATGCAGCACACAAAGCAGGAGAAGAAAGTAGGAGAAATGCATAATATAGACAGTAAACAGAGGTGTGAGACAAAGGAATAGTAATAACGAAGAACAAAAGAGTTTCATTGGAAATCATAAGTCACAAGGAGTGGATGCATCTGCGCTAGCCATTGATAACGATTTTGAGTCATGTCACCAATTGTTTCCAACCATTGGTTTTTACCGTCCCGAGGACCCCAACCAGGAAGTCTACACCTTCCTACGTGGCTAGACTAACTGTTGTAGATTTCATTGACTGGTGCCATGTTTTCTTGACCACCGCTAGCTCTTTTCCAGCCTGACCCTATATCAGCTAACATTGCCCGTCGAGGAAGACGATGACTAGGCATACGTAACACATGTCCTAACCATCTCAGTCGATGTAATTTCACAGCCTCGTCGATTGATTTCCCCTCTTTACCTAGCACTCGACTGCCTAACCTCAATATTGCTCACCTTATTATACCACTTCACGCGGGAGATAGAACGCAGACACCTATGATCGAAGACAGCTAATCTTTTCATGTCTTCCACTCTCAATGGCCAGGTCTCACAGCCATAAAGGAGGACGGAGCGGACTGATGAGCAGTACACACGCCCTTTTGGTCGATAGTCAGTACTAGAAGATAGCTATTCTAGTCTTCTGCTTTGCATATTTTTACAAGTGAGGTCTAACTGGTAAGTTGACGAAACCATCCTGAATGAACATTTAGGTATCACGAAATAGAGGGAGATATTCTTTCATCATTATGATAAAATTATGACTCAGTTATCAGTTGAATCAGGTAGCTTAGTCGACGGAACTTCAGTCTACTCGGCTGAAAGTCTCTTTGCAGCCCACTTTTGCTGCTCAACTGATGGCTTTCTAAACGATTTCTAGTTTACTATGTATCAACAATGATGTTATTGTCAGTTACATCTAAAAGCTCAATCTAAAGAAAATAAAATTAGCAGTGGGAGGGGGGAGATGGCTTTCATGACAAAGGGAAGAAATGTTTACATCTTAACTACATAGATTCGTTTCGGTTGGTTTTCTACACTCATTGGGATATGACGCTGTGATGAATAAGATGAATAAGTAGTGTAGCGAAACATTCGTTCCATGGTTATATGCTAGAGGTATGACCACAACTTACCGCATTTTCCTCTTGATTTAACCGTTAGATCTGTTGAATGCCGTTGACATGCACTTGATCTTAAATGACATTCACTACGATATGTCTGCCCATCTGATCCACAGACTTGTCCACCAAGACCATTTTCTGGACATGAAGGACAAATACACTGTGGTATTGTATCTTCAAATGATTTGGTTAAACCATATTCACTTGCATCTAATCTTTGATTTGTTGTACCATAAACCATTGGATTTTTAATCCGTGAGCATATTTCATATCCTTGACACGGTTGATTGAGTAGCATGCAGTCTTTTACTTGACCTTGAGGAAGGGAAGAAAAAGTGGTTAGAAGATTAAATTGATTAATACTTGAACTTTTTATAAGAAAAAAATCTTTTTATGCCAAATACGGTAGAACACTGGGAAGAATGTAAAACTTAAAAATATTCCTGAAAACAAATACTATCGAGTTTTTGGGATGAGAACTATTGAGGTTAGTTAAAGTATATTAGAGAGAAAAGAACAGGAAGTTCAACAAAGATATCTTTTCCACGATTTCATTCTCAAAAGCTGAAAAATCGCATTCATATATATGCATAAATTTACATAATAACGAAAGGGGAGATAATAATTTTCAACTTGATGTGAAAATTTGAAGGTGTGAATATAGATTAAAGGGAACATAAAAAAACAAAACTATACAGGATCAGAAAACAGTTGCGTTATATGTAAAATAGTTTTTGTTTTTGACGAGTATAGGTGTAAACCGAATGAGCATAGAAACAAATTAAGACAGTATTTTACATAACTGAAATGAAAATGAAGTCAAACTGAACTAGATCCTCGGTGAGCGTGGAGGTTGAACTAGCTTCTTTTGAACACATATCTGCAGGTTTTCGATGTATATGGCGAGGGATACTGCAATACAAAGAAGTCGGAAATGCACTAACTTAGATTGATTTTTGTTCAATTTGTAGAAGGCCATAAACGACGTGTCAGGTGTGATAGGCGTACTGACGAGGTGTTCACTTATGGCGCTCCTGACTGAAACAATACCTCATCTCCTCAGCCATACTGGGTAATATTATCTAACACCCGCAGAACGACTTATGTGCCTAGCTCCACAGAAGCAAGTGAATTGATATATATGCTAACTGGAGTGGCCATATACGTGAGTTTGTCCATCGCATTGCTTAGAAGCAGTTTACTGTATTGCCAATCGATAAAAGAATATTTTTATCTACAGCTTATACAGTTTCAGACGAGAATAAAACTAATGAAACTATCTTCTAAGAGGAAAGAAGGCTAAACAAACAAGCTGAAACCATAGGTACAAAATACATAATAGGAAAACTCTTCATTCTCCTATAACATTTTTTTCTCCTTCATATCTGATTATAACAAAGGAATTAGTGTATATATTAATATTAATAAATAATTCAGTCATGTATATCCATAATTTAGGTCTTCACAAAGTGGGAGCAGTACATATAGCATGGAGAATTTTGAAGCTTAACAGTGAATCTACACATCTCTGCAACTATTATTAGATTTCATATTATAATATACATTGTAGGCAGATTGTCCTAGTATACAGGAATTTAAGTCCACGGACTAATCACCAAGGAAACTACGGAATACCATAGAATCAAAAACAGAGCTTCTGGATAGCTTAGAATAACTGAAGCACTAGACGAATTACTCCCGGTGGAATATTTTATATAGTCCTTTTTAGACGGTATTATTGGTGAGGTGCTTGAAAAGATGTTGACATCAAGGAGGAAACATTTTGACAGAATACATGGTCTCAGATAGAATCACGAGACGTTACATGAAAATCATCCCTTAAAAACTTAGCTTATAACACCCAATAATATCCTTCAATGATAATGAGAAATATTCAGCAGTATAGTCAACATACTTTCCCTTCTAACGGAAACCATGGTGAACTTTTAAATGTTATTATTTTTTATTTATATCGTTATTGTGTATGTGAACTATTAAGTATAGTAACTAGCGATGAATGTTTAAAATAGTAAATTTTGAGTTAAACTGAAATAAATTTACACTCGGGCATCCTAGTATTATAATCTGAAGGGCAATTATGCACTCACCACTCATTCTCTTACTCAAAATTTTTACTGGTCGACTTAAAGTCAAGATATGAAATTGGTAAAAGGTTTAGCGGGAAGTCTACTGGTTTAACTCATATCATATCGTAGATTTCCATTACATCTTTTATTACCCCTATGTCATTAAGAGTTTGTTAAACTTAGTAGGTTTCCGACATTTGTACCAATAGCATGTCATTTAAGAACAAATCTTGAACATCATAGAAGAGCAAAACTCAGTAGTGCATTTGGTACTTGATAGTATGGCTATGATCAATGTGTCATACGCGATACGTCGCCAGTGTAATGTGTAGATAAATAAGACAATTACAGAAGAGTCCTCTTGCCTGCACAATATTAACTCCATGCGACTATTCACATTGCTTAGGAGCAGCGTGTTGTATTTTTTTCCATACATCTTATCCTCATTTTGTTCAGTCTCCGTGGTACTATTTATTATGAAAATATTATCATTATTCCCTTGGGTTCCGAGTAAAGCATACGGCTTCAACACCACATCTCCATTTTGTCCTGTCTGCTGCAGTTCTCTTATCCAGCCCCACGATTGCCCGTAGTCTCTAATGTCCTCCTCACACGATCTCCTCCATGTCTTCCTCAGACGCCCCACTCATTGTTTACCATCCGCGTTCCACTTGAGAAATGGACTGGCATGCACTGTATTTCGATGGTCTCCTCAGTGTGTGCCCAGTCCATCTGCATTTTCTTCGAGATATTTGTCGAGCAACAGGTTATTGATTGGTTCGTACACAGAGTTTCTTGTCACTGGTTCCTTCTGACTGGCCATCTGGTCCCCATTATGGAGCCAGCGAAGGCAGTTGTTGATAAACGTTTGATGTAGCATGTTGGAAATGCTTTTCGTGACGCGCCAAGTTTTGACCCGTATAGAAAGAGTGGCTTAACACTGGTGTTGGAAATCCGAATTTCGTTGTCTATGCAGAGTTGGAGGGTGGGAGAGTTGCAAACTGATTTCAGGTGGTGATGAAGGTATACCTTACCTTTCTGATCCTGGTTTTGACATTTACAACCGTTCTACTTGTAACTGAAACGGTACTGTCTGAATAAGAGAAGGAAGTGTCCCTTAACAAGTTTCTCCCCTTGATAGTGATTGGTGCTTGTTATTACTGTTAGTTGGTTATCTTCATAACCTCTCTCTTCTCTAGGTTCATATGAAGTCTTGTCTTTGCTTCTTCACCTGGCAGTTTGTTGGTTTTCACCTACACTTCTCCAATTTTGTGTAAATAATAATGATTAAAGCTAATGATAAAAACCCTATTCATTTTATATTGATACGCTGCTGATCTTAATTTATTATGAGAAGTCACGGTTAGTGGGGTCCACCATGCCTAGTGTGAAACAAATTTTCACTGATTGCGGTCGTCACTAGTATCACCATATTGCGAAATAACATCACTTAGAATTTGCATGCCATTGGATCCCAAAACCATGGCCGAATTGGCATATCACTTTATCACCTACAGGTGGTGTGTGTTTCGACACCTTTAGTAGTCGTGGGTGCTGGACATGTAAAATCCTGAAAATAAGATGAAATATTAGTCCAGTACTCCTTGGTTTTTGATGATTTTCTAAGCACTGTCGATTTTTAATGAAATCTATGATAAAAGGATAGTTTATTTCAGTTGTTAATATCTTTGTGCGACTAATATATAGAGCAATAATAGTTTATCGCCCACTCGATGTCATCTCTGAAGTATTGTACTTTTGAGAGTTCGAGACTCCACATTAGATTGTTTATTAGGTATATCACACAGTGAAACAGTATAATTTACTGGATGACGTTTCGAACAAAATTTATTGTTCATAATCATATCATCAATTATAATGACACGATTTCGAAACTTGAATTTCATAGTTCTCTTTGTTCTGTCTCTCCTATTTGTCGTCGTTGGGGTAGTAGAATTTTCCAGATATATGGGATAGGTGTTGAATCATTCCTATTACACATGTTTGCAGTTGATTCGATAAACAAAGCTTCCGTTATCAATCTCTCCCTCCATCCTGGTAAATTAGATTTTAAAACTGTCATCTTATCCCAACCATCCTACGATTTGCTTGTGTGTAATTGCATGTAGTGCTATAGCTAATACCCTGCAATTATTGTCAGGTGAAATACATAGGTCATAGTAATAGAACGAGTGCAGTCAGACTAGCCGAGCATAAAAACCTAGTAAAATCTAGATTAATTGACCCGAGTAAGGTAAGAAATCTAGAGGATAGTTCAGCTATAGCACCACATGCAATTACACACAACCATATAATAGGATGAGATAGGATGACAGTTTTAAAATCTAATGTCACAGGGTGGAGGAAAAGATCGATAATAGAAGCTTTGTTTATTCAATCAACTGCAAATACGTGTAATAAGAATGATTCAACACCTGTCCCAGATATCTAGAAAATTCTGCTACCCTAACGACGACAAATAGGAGAGGACAAAGAAAACTATAAAGCTCAAGTTTGGAAGTCGTGTGATTATAATTGATATGATTATGAAGAATAAATTTTGTTCGAAACTGTGTCATCCAGTAAATAATACTGTTTCACTGTGTGATACATCTAATAAACAAACTAATATAGAATTACTTACCACCACAGTGCCCAAGTTTTAAGCATATATTAATGAGAGCTGAAGACCTTAAATAAGGTGAGTTAAATTATAAGATCATATTATAGTTACTCTCTCAGGTTCCGAGTGGTACATACAGCTTCAATCTCCGCTAGTTCACTAGCAGGTAGATACTAAGCCCTAAGTGACTGGGCGTCCCTCCCACAGGAAGTCAACTTAATGGCTACAAAAACCTCAAAGCACAGAAATATATATTTTAAAAAATCCATTCTTCACTGGAATCGGACAGACAGAATGGTGCGGGATGACGAATGCCTTCGGGAAGTCAATAGTCAGCCGATGTGTCTTCTACCCGATGCATGGGACACGGGCCGTCCAAACAGTGTTCCAAGCAATTATACAGATCATTGTTAATCAGAAAGAATCATCCTAAAATTCCAAAAAGAAATCAATGATGATGAATGGCTGGTTACGAACCACTGATAGATATGTCCAGATCTTCATGACTGAATCTAATCAAAACTCAGGAATTAGTTAGGTTGTAAAGTATAACTACTGGGGTTTCTAAGTTGTAGAACATAAGGGGATGGTTAGACGTATTTTTATTTAATTTATCTCAAGACATACAACGCGGGATATTATTTTATCTCAGGTTGGCTCACGATCTGACAGTTAGAGAACTATTGAAAATCAAGGAATACTTGACGGCTTTTTGATCCTGGTTCTGGCTTATCCACCAGTTCACATCATCAATCCCAGAAGAATGGAGTTTATGGGGTTCTGGTGAGAAGTCACGCAGCTGGTTAGGAAGAAAAACACTCATCGATGACATTGGCTAATGGTGATATTTGTATCGATAGTCAGCACGATTTCGTACTCACAGGTTATTGGATTCTTTCCTGTAACTGAATGATCATCAGGCATACCTCGTAACGTGTAGGTCGTGCGTTTTATCTTCCGAAGATTCCAAACTAGGATAAACCAGCCATCCAATACTCCCTGGTTTTCAATGGTTCTCCAACTGATGTCAGATCGTGGTCCGACTTGAAATTAATCGGATCCCTGCAAACTAACACTCAAATATTATTTTGCCCGTCAAAAGTATTCTGAACGAATGCATGTAACGGAATGAATAAGTCTCCAAATGACATATGACTCAAGGAAATAAATGAAAACGTTACACCTCACTTATTTTCCACAATGATTGCCAATGACCATATCGTAAAACAACTGAATTTCAAATCAAAACACTACTCAGTTTTTTTCAAAAATAAAGTTAGTAAACAAAATAAAGCAACCAAAAAGTGCAACTTACTACATTCTCCTGAATATAATACATGTATTTCTCGCATTTTTTGACATGCTGTTCTTTCCAAATGACACGTACTGTCATATGTTATTCCATCACTACCACAGACTGGAGAGACAACCTGTGGACAGGGTTCAGGACATGTACACTTTGCTTCACCATTTATATCAACTTGACATTTTTCACCTTGCCATCGACATTTATGATGTAAGCAGGGGTTGGAGGCTGTGCGTGATTAGATAAAAGAAAAAAATTTACTTATATCAGTAGAACTGTATTCAAGATTTTAAATGATTCTTAGAAATTATATTTCAAAAATTATGACTAATATTTAGAGGATTGGTGACATCGTGCAGATCCATGTATACTAATTCCAATGTTTCGCTTATTATATGAGTAATAATGTTGTCACATCGGAGCTAAAACTTCCCAATCCTGATGGCAACTTCAAAGGGTTTCAGATGAATACACACTAATCGTCTAATATACATGAAGTATTTGTAGTGAATATAAACGACACTTTCATGAGTTTGTAGGGATTTGATTTGTTCGGTTAAAGAACCACTAAAAATCACAAGTCAATACTGGACAGCTTTTTCGTCCTAGTTTGTGACTCATCTTCAATACTCACCTACCGAGAGTTCGGCTACAGGAGCTCCAGGTTTAAAGTCAAGTTCGTTGACCATTGACCACTGGGATGCAACTCAATGGATAGTCCATGAGTTCTAACATATTACGATTCGTGGTTTTAGTGTGTCGTCCGCAGCGAGTATTTATCCTCACTCCGGACCTCACTGGTCACGACTTCTAATGTCCAGATGGGTATTTTTCAAGATTTAGAAAAGTGCAAGGACCCTTTAACATCAACCAAGAACGTCGAATTGATTTCCCAAGTTGTAAAAGCCTATCAATGACAAAACCCAAAAGGTTTGTTGTGAAACAAATAAGTAACGCTAATATCATATCGCGAGTGTGTTGAACTTCAGGATCATAAGATACTGGTTTTCATTCCTGTAATTGAGTAGTGAAATAGTCGCCTAATAATCTGACTTTAATGAATCCTATTTCTCGCATGTAGGTGATTGTACCCATATGATGATTTATGGCTTGGAATGAAACCCTTTTCGCTACTCTTCTGTTTTTCAAGTAATTTTTCTTCTTTTTTCTTTTCATTCACGTTCCTTAGTGGAACATAGGGCTCCAAGCTAGTGGCTTGAAGTTTCTGTAGCAGTGTTTATTTTACAGGATGTGGTTGCTAGCCTCATGCCCAACCTTTCCTCCTTACCAGCATTATTTCTGGCTTAGTGAGGTAAAGGAGTGCGTCGGCCGGGAATCGAACCCCGGACCATGTGCATGGTCGGCTAGCGTCCTTACCGCTAAACCACCGACGCACAATTTTTCTTCAATTACTACTAAATCTGCAGGTAGTGAATTAGTAAAAGTTGGGATTGGGTTGGCCACTGAATCTGGTTCCAGTGGCTTAATGGTCTACTAGCTCTCCTTGTAACCAGGAGGTCCTGGGTTCAAACCCCCCGTGGTGGGTGCATACTGATGAAGAGTCCCAAACTAGGACGAAATGGATGTCCAGTACTCCCAGGTTTTCCAATGGTCCTCTAACCGATGTCAGTTCATGATGAAATTCTGCAAGCAATCAGTCAAATCCTAACAAACCAATACTTGAAAATCTGGATAAATTGATCCCGTTCCACAAGTACTGAGCAGTACAAATAGGGGAAAACCTCTCGTACTAACTTCTAAATAAAATGACAATGATCATAAGTTGACATCGTGGTGAGTACTGATAAAACACAACAGTATAAATTCATACTTGAACGATCATGAAATGGAGGGTACTGAGTGCTAGAAACGCGGAGTTTCTACTTCCTTGATGGTGGATGGCAGAGGAGTCCAGGACGTGCGTTTCATCCTATTTGGAACTAGTCAACTGGATTCACCTACACCTGCAGTGATGTTTGATATTTTGACTGAGACTCGTACTCTGTAGTCACCGTTTAAATCATAAAGGCTTTATCCGAAAAGGGTTTTTTCTCATCCTGTCTTTTTGTTCATTTTGTTCTTTCTTCATCCCATTTCTTTGTTCAGTACATCTAACTCATTGATGACGAAACTCACCAAAAAATTATGACATTACATTCTTCTTAGTTGTACATGCAAGAAAACATCCAGTGTGAAGAGAAAAAGTCAAAAGAACAAAACAATAAGATTTTCTTTTCAAAACTTATCCCACGCTTTTCCCTACACCGAGAATTTGGATTACCTTCAGTTCTCTTTCTCTTTTATGTGAACAGTGATAAATTTTATAAAATCTCTCGTATATCATGAAAATATCTTTAACTACAATTCATTAAACATTAAAATATTGTTGAAAAATGTTCTACACTGAAAAGTTACATAAATGTATGTATCACAATATCACGTCCCATTTTTTAAAGCTTCTTTCTATGTAATTTTTGACCTATATATGTTTCACTACAGGTAGATATTAACTAAAGGTGGGAAGGTAGTTTTGAATATGCAGATTACTACCGAGGTAATGAAGCTGGTGACTTAAAGGGAAATGATGAGAAGAACTAACTGGACAAACTAAAGTAACGTAACAGCGGCGAGGCGGAAATATCCTCTCATCTCACACAGTGTTTTAGTTATGTCTGTGAGTTTCCCATTAATTATGAACGGATATATTTTCATTTTCTAGCATTAGTATGCATAAAATGTAGGTGGCAAGTCCTTATTACTGAATGGTAGTCTTAAATCAACACTGATAACCACGTCACTGCATTAGTTACCAAGTGGTCACCATAACTTATATAAATCGTTTATTCCTGAAAACAGTGAATAATCGGTGGTTGCTGACTCAGATTTGAGTTGCAAGATAATGGAAATAACCTCAGTGACAGTTAGTGATGAGTATCAACGAAAAAAAATACATAGATGAAGCAGACTTTTTCTGGAAATAAAATCGTAACATGAAAAAAATCTAGTGATATTTCTGTTGGGTTTTGCAAATGTAGGACTCAGCACAGTCAATATTTTTAAAAAGCTATACAATATCTCCAAAACTTCATGGAAACCTTCAATGCCGAGAGAAGATGCTGGGATGGGTAGCACGATTACATGTCTGTGTTACAAACTGGTTGAAATGCTTACTTCTGAAGAAATTGGCTTCATGGAAGAACCTTAAATTACTCTTGGCCAATATATGTATATAGTTTAACAAAGCAACGAACGTATTATTTCTATAAAAGAGAGTGAATTGGCTGAATAATCACCAAATTTATATGAAGCACAGTTTCCTGTAGTACATGCACTTAAATGCACTTAGACTTGATTAATGACTGTTCCAATCTTCTGACTTTTAATCTTATTTAATTGACTGTTAACTAGAGAGTATCTTTTTTACTTTGATTCTCGGACTTAAGTGTTTTTCTACATGTTGAGACAAATCATTTATTTTGTTTCTATTACTACTGTTTGGCGTGAGTAGTTTTCAACAACTCGTATCAGTCAATCAATCACTAGTGTGTAGTACGACTTAGTTTTGTTTGTAATCTGTATGTGTGTCTCTGCATGTATTAAATGTTTGAAATTTTTTTTATTTTTTATTCCTTTACGTTCCCAGTGGAACATAGGGCTCCACGCTAGAGGCTTGAAGTTTCTATTGCAGCGGTGATTGTTTTTACAGGATGGGGTTGCTAGCCTCATGCTCAACCTTTCCTCTCTACCAGTCTTATTACTGGCTTACTGAGGTAAAGGAGCGCGTCGGCCAGGGGTCGAACCCCGGACCGCCTGAAACATTCAGAAAATTCATTTTGCCTGTTAGATTTTTACTTTCAATCACTAGGTTCTAAGGTTCATGATCCTTCAACAGTACGCATACATGACTCCATCAGAGAGGTTCAATAAGCCCAATGGGATCAAGACAACTCACCAATAACATAGGCTGGCAATGGCACTATGTATCATGAATGCTAACAAGTCTGAATGCATGAACCATTGAATTCCGTCTTAGTGGTGGCACGGTTAACGGTCTTGCCCAACAGCCAAAAGGTCCCAGGATCAATTTCCAACATAACTATGCATGTATACTGCCGCGGAGTCGCAAATTAAGAAGATTCAAGTGACCAATACTCCTTGGATTTCTGGTATGTCACTTCCTCATCTAATTTGCAACTAATCATAGCCGCGCTAATCAATAATTGAGAATATATTCTAAAATTAATCCACTTTGCTGTAGACCACACAAGAGTTTGAAAGTACATTCAGTAAATTTAGAAATGGTGTATTCTTCATTTCAAAGGATATTATATATGCATTCATTTATGAATTTATCAACTACCCATTGGGAAAGTTTGTCTACATCATTGAAACATATATATATCCCGAAGTGGATAAAAATGCCACCTTGGAATGAATGCGTTTCATTTAAATTAAAAGCTTAAGTGTTTTTAGTTTTAAATAGATGCAAAGAGAGATTAAAAATAGGGTGAAGTATTATATTTGAGTAAGTATCATTATTAATACCATCAAGAGTAGTCCTCGTTGACAGAAATGATTATATTTAGAAGATGAATGATATATATTGAGAGGGAAACAAAAGTTTCAAAAATTGGAGGAGAGCAAAAATTTAAATAATAAAATAGACAGTAAGATAACCAGGCTTATAAAGAGATTTTAGGAGGAACACATACTTCCTGAAAGTTTGTATTGACAAAATCAAACCCACAGATGCATATACACCAAGATTATACAGTTTACCCAAACTACATAAACATAGAGTGCCGTTAAGACTAATTCAAGAAAAGCACAATTAATCCTACCATGTCTAAGCTAAACCGTCATTAACTATCTTTAAACCTTTATGCGAATAGCCAATGAAATATACTGTGTGGAAGATGTTTTTGAATTCGCAGAAAGTGAAAGATGAAGCTATGGCATCTTTGAAAATAACGTCTCTATTTACAAATGTACCTCTAACTAAAACGGTTAATTACATCTGTTTAAACAAATAAATAAAAAGTCAGTAAATATTGTGATCCCCATGTAGAAATCCTTCGAATTTCAGCTAAAGTGTATCGTGAATGTCACTTTCTAATTTGACAGTGAAATCTATAGATAGATGGAGAGGGTGGCGATGGGCTTCCCGTAGGATTGCATTTTAGCAGATTTCTTTCTGAGTAAACTAGAAAATGGCTCTTTAAACAATC